CCCTTCAACTTTTTAAAATCTTTTCTAGTGTATGTAGGCTAAGTATTAGACTTCTTAGATGTTTATTGGCATATAGGCCTTTATGCTTACTTAATTGCATGCCTTAAAATTATGTTCATATATAAGTGGTAAACCAAAAAGTAAAAACTAACAAGTAATAATTTCTACAACACTTTATGCTTACATTTATAACACTTTTAGTTCTCTTAGTGGTTTGATATTTTGCTCTTAAATACTCTTTTTGTTTCATTTATTATTCATATTTGATTTTGATCGAGTTTAAAAAAACTATTGATTTTGGTTTTTTTTATTGTAATTTTATTTTTTATAAAATTAATTATTGAAAATATTTTCAAAATAAGTAAAGATCAAGTGAAAGAATAACATAATCATGTTATTGATTAACTCAAGAAAGTTTTATTATCAAAAGACTTGATTTATAAGACTTACCAAGAAAAGCAGTTAATTGTAATACTTAATGGAGTCTACTGCCATGTGTTAGCCATGAGGATTAGTCGATTCCCAAGCCTAGAGCACTCAACTACTACATCTGAAAATGAAGCCAATCGATTGCCTAACTTAAGTGGAATCGATTGTTATGGCTGGCAAAGTGTTCTATTTCAGAGTTTAACCAAAACTGTTGATTGCTTTTAGCATGGAATATTCGACTACCCTTATGGTGAAAATATTCTAAAATAAGAAAAGAGTCGACTACCTATGGCAATAGTCAATCTCCCAACCCTATAGACCATTTTGAAATTTAAAGAAGTTAACTACTTTAAGGCAGCAGTCGACTGCCTTATTGTCCTTAGCATTTTTGAAACTAGAATTTACAAAGGAGCAATTGCCTAACTTTGAGGAGAAGTTGATTGTCCTAGATAAAAAGCTATATTTTTAAGATGAAACATTAAGTTTTTGTTCAATTAAACCATGATATTTCACTAAGTGATTTATTACTTGTAAAAAAGTATCTTTAATTATTCAAAGAGATATGTTCTCAATTAAATAATATGATTGTTAGATGAAACAATTTAATTAAAGGAACATGGCCCTTGGTTTAATTCTCTAAGTAGAGATTATTATAGCACTTTCATATTGTTGATGAACATTAGAAAATATTTTATTTTTTCTTCTTCTTACTTTTAAAATAGGAACAAGTCTTTAAAACTTTGTTTTATTGCAAAACAATATAGTTTAAGACTATATTTTCATTGTATTTAAAGGAGTTTAGTGGTTAGAATTTCACCAGTGCAAAGTAAATTCTAACAATGACTTCATTGTATCTTTTAGACTATTTAATCAATCCCTTTTACTTCTTAAGAACTAGTGTGGACAAATAAGTTTAAAGGAAATCATCCCCTAGAACTTGCCTTAAAGTCATGTACAATTGATGTTTGACTCTCCATATTGAAGCCAATACAAGACTACCACAGGTGTAAGAGATTGTTAACAAAATAGAAGACATCTTCAAAGGATTTCCTGGAAACAACATTAATGTTTTATGGTATTTAATACCAAAAAATTAAAAAAAATAGGATAAATGATTTTTGAAATATAAAAAGTTCATAGTATTAGTTGCTTGAAATAAAAAGAAAGAAGATATAATTTTAAAACATCCCATAAAAATAATATGCTTAAAGAACATGAGATGGGAAAGAGTTTTTTCTTTTTTAAAGAAAATTTTTATCAATTTTTTTATCATGAAAGTATTATACAATTTTAAATCGAGAAATTATTTGATATACTGACAATAAAATTTTTTAATTACACAAGTAGAATTAAGATATTAACAGATATTCCACTTCTTTTAAATTGATTTTTTTTTATCTTTTGAAATATACATTAAAAAATATGTATTACCATCTTAACCATGCTTGTGGAGTTAAAATACTCTCATAGTCAGTATATTTAATAATTTATTTTTAAATTTATCCATTTTTGTGTATTTACAATAGGAAGGCATGTGATTGTTTATTTTTTATATTTTTTATATTATTTTAACTCATGTATTCAATAATTTTGTGGGTTTATTTTAATTATATAATAATTACATAATATATATTTTGATAGGATATGTAATTATATTTTGTATATATATTGAATGTAGTACAAACAATCATATATGTTATCAAAGAATACCAAATAGCACAATTTCAGTAAATTGAGATAGTTTTTGTAAAAAAATATATTCAAAATTTTAGCATAATAATATATCATATTGAGTGAAACTTAAGTTACATTATAACATTTATTTATTTGAAGGTGATCTTGGCCCCCTTTGAAATATATTTTTGGCTTCAATATCCAAATAAGTCATTCCAACTTTGTTAAAAAATAAAATAAACTTTTCCTATTTTATTGCATGAAATTAATGTTATTAATTTTTATTTTATTATAATTAGAACCTTAATATTACGAAAATCAATCTTATATTATTAATTTTTCTGATTGGTTCATGTAATTTATGAAGAAATGTTTATTTGGATTTATTTGGAATTATATGACAAATACTTGGGGAATGCTATTCTAATAATTCTAAAAATTAAAATTTATTCATCTATTTTTCAAATTTAATGATTATAATTATAATAAAATAAGAGTTCATAAATTTAATCATGCAACAAAAATAAAAAGTTTATTTATGCTTTTTTTTTTGTTAAGCTTGAGGATTTATTTGGATGTTATGCCTCTTTTTTTTTGTTGAAATATACATACATATATATATTTATATATAAGAAACGGAAGAGTGACTGGTTAAGTTGAATCACTGGAAAAAAATTTGGTGAAGTTGAATCACGTAATCAAGTGATATATTGAAGACACATTTTCTATTGTAGAAATAAAACAATTAAAACCCATGAATGTTACATGGCTTTTCCTTGTCTCATGTTTTCCATGACCGAAAAAAAGAAAAGGAAACACATTTGTCATTTTTGTTGGATAAATTCCAGGATCTCACTTATGTTTCCATGCACTCAATATGCATGCATGATTATATGGAAGCATCGAAATCAAATGATTGAAAGTTTACCAACTCCATAATTAACGACAATTGCGTGATCTTAAGTGTTAATCCTAACAAAACTCAAAGGAATTTCCAAGTAGTTAATAGATTCTTTGACGATGGTTGTCTCCATCCATGCAAAGGGATTAAATTAAATAGATTGTTTAATAGATATTCTCAAATTTTCCATTGCACCCTGGGTGTCAGATTAGGTTTTTTTAGTGGCTACTTATATTATATAAGAAAATTATAAACAAAACTTTGAAATAATATATTACTATATTATTACAATTATCCACAACAAATGTTTATATATTGAAAAGAGACATAAGTACTATAAATACATCATTAAGTAACAATCATTCAATCAAAAACTATTGATGAATTTATCAATTTTATCAACAAAAAAATGTTTAAAAAATTTTTCCCTCAAATTGTTTTTTTTTTTTTTTTAATATTTAGGGTGTTCATAAACACTTTACTTTAAGCCTCGCATCCACCTGTAGCAACTTGATGGGATAGAATGCAAATAATCCATTAATCTCCTTAATTTGGAAGTTTTGATCTTTATCTAGGATTTAAAATAAGATTTCCCCCCTGTACCTCCAAGGTAGGTCATGAATTTAATTTAGAGAAACCTTATAACCCACAGAGTACATCTATATGAAATCCAAATCAAATGATTGCAAGTTCACCCACCTGTTAAGGATGACAATTGCATGATCTTAACTGCTAAAAAAGCCAGCCTTAAAAGAAAAAAAAAAAAGTCAAAGAATTTCCAATTCAAAGGTTCGGTAAAGAATAAATGAATGTAGCCACATAAAAAATGTAGGTGGCTTTGCTCTCGCCTAACAGGCTGCAATAGCAGCTGGCTTAAATCAAGTAGCGTCTCGGTAATTGGAGAAAAATGTAGTCATAAATTTTTGTTGAAATGATGTTTAGATCACAATAGCCTGTTAGGCTTCATTAATGTACAACTAATCTCACGTGACGACCATATTATTCAATCAGATATCCATGAAATAACAGTTAAACAATTTGATCAAGTAAAAATGGAAAGAACGAACGGGAAAGTCACACTGAACAAGATAATCAAGACGTTGATAATTTATTATCTAAAGAAAAGTCAATGGAAAAAGTGGTTTTCTGATAAATTTTGACCTGTGAACAATCTTGAAAATTGTTTGGAAGAAAGTCATAGATCAGTTGATACAGGCCATCTAACTTGGGATTGGTTCACGTGGATGAAAAAATTGTAGATTTAAAAAATTGAAATCCACCGAAGTTGTCCGGTTTTAACGCACGACGTTATGAAAAAAAAAAAGAAAAAAAAAGTAATACATGATAAAATTTTAATAAAAAATATTAAATGGATTAATAAATATATTTTTTATATTTATATTAATTATAACATATAATTTTCACATAAAATATTGTAAAAATTTATAAATTATCAATATTTTATAAAAATCAAATACATATAACAAAATCTGACTAATGGTATAAGCATACGTTGAAGATATGAAATAACACTAAAAGTTGGAGAGAGAGATCAAATTTCCTTAAAAAAGACCCCAAAACTTAGAAGAGCGGTCACCAAGAATCCAACCTAACTATTTAGCCAAGGAAAAAAATAATGCTGCTGTTCATACGGAACTAGAGGCATGTTCATGGAACTTAATTAACAAAGATCAATGTAACAAGTATATAATTTTAAAGGGTTTAAAAGAAGAAGAAAGATCAGCAGAAGATTGATTGAGCATTCAATGCTAGCGGTGTGGCTAACCAAATGCGCTGTGGTCAACCATTAGCCTGCCCCATGTACAGTAGCTCCCCCTTTAATGACGCCTATAAGTATTCTCTGTTTCCTTCCACTTCTATACACAAACCCCTTCCTATATTTTCTTCCTCTTCTAGACATAGCTTTGTTTCGTTCTCCATCTCTTTCTCTAAGCTCTTTCTAGTTTCCTTTCTGAAAAATATCATTGGCCCCTGAAGCAGAAAAGCCATGGTTTTCCCTGTGGTATTTCTGAAACTAGCAGACTGGGTCTTGCACCAGCTGCTGGCTAACTCATGGTATAGAGCTAGAAGGAAGATGGGAAACTATGGGTTCTTTCTAAAGAACCAAAACATTAGGTCATCATCACAGCAACAAGCTGCTTCTTCGTTCCCTAGTGTCACCAAGTGTGATTTAGGCAATAACAGAAGGTTTGATACATTGGTTTGTGATATTCATGGAGTTTTGTTAACATCAGAAAACTTTTTCCCTTATTTCATGCTTGTTGCTTTTGAAGGTGGTAGCATTTTGAGAGCTTTTCTGTTGCTTTTATCATGTTCATTTTTGTGGCTTTTGAACTATGAGCTGAAATTGAGGGTTATGATTTTTATATCCTTCTGTGGGCTTAGGAAAAAGGACATTGAGAGTGTTGGCAAGGCTGTTTTGCCAAAGTTTTATCTTGACAATCTGAATCTCTATGCCTATGAAGTTTGGTCTAAATCAAGTTCAATGGTTGTTTTTACAAGTATACCTAGAGTAATGGTGGAGGGATTCCTCCATGAATACATGAGAGTCAATGGAGTTGTAGGGACTGAATTGCACACTGTTGGCAACCGATTCACAGGTTTGCTGTCCAGCTCCGGCTTGATTGTAAAGCATAAAGCCCTAAAGGAATACTTTGGAGATAGAAAGCCAGATGTTGGCCTCGGAAGTTCAACCCTCCATGACCATTTCTTTATCTCCCTTTGCAAGGTATTCTTATTTCTTGTTGCTTCAACTCAATGTTAAATTATTTGACAAAAGAAAACAAATAATCCGTGGTCATTGAACATATTTGGAAATACATCAAACTATACAATTCATTCAGTTTTGGGTAACAAATTTTTAACACTAGACCTACCTGGTACAGAGGTAACCCCACCTAAGACCTTTCATTAAGAATTTGGTCGACGTTTCTGTCAAATTTATTTTTAGATTTTTGTTAAAATTTTAAATTATATTTTTATATAATTTTGATATCCTTATCGTGTTTTAAATTATATGGACTGGAATTTGGTTTATGATCATTGTATTGTATGTTCCAAGATCATTTTCTAAAAAATGGAAAACCCTTTTGAATTAGTTTCCTATATAATCTCTACTCAACGGTATTCCTCTTTCCCAAGATATACCTCTGCAGGAAATTCCCCTTTCCCAAGATATACTTTCTTGTAAACTTTGACATGTGCCTATTCCTTTCTTGTGTAAAAGTTCAACGACTTGAAAAAGTTGTCTATTCAATTTTGTGATTGCGACAGGAAGCCTATGTTGTGCACAATGAAGATGGCAGAAACAACCTAAGCTGTGTAATGCCAAGGGAAAAGTACCCGAAGCCTCTTATATTTCATGATGGGAGGCTGGCTTTCTTGCCAACTCCTTTTGCAACTCTTTCAATGTTCTTGTGGCTTCCATTTGGGATTGTTCTTGCCATATTTAGGATTCTCGTTGGGATCTGCATGCCTTATAGGTTAGCTATTTTCTTGGGTACTCTGAGTGGATTGCAGCTGAGATTCCATGGATGCTTCCCTCCATCAAATTCACAACATAAAAAAGGTGTTCTATATGTCTGTAACCATCGAACTCTTTTGGACCCAGTTTTCCTTAGCACAGCATTGTGCAAGCCTTTGACTGCAGTCACCTACAGCTTGAGCAAAATGTCTGAAATGATAGCTCCAATCAAAACAGTTCGGTTGACAAGGGACAGGAAGCAAGATGGAGAAACCATACAAAAGTTGCTGAGTGAAGGTGATTTGGTAGTGTGCCCTGAAGGAACCACATGCAGAGAGCCTTATTTGTTGAGGTTTAGCTCATTGTTTGCTGAGCTAGCTGATGAGATCGTCCCAGTGGCCATGAACGTACATGTAAGCATGTTTTATGGGACAACTGCAAGTGGGTTAAAATGTTTGGATCCCATCTTCTATCTGATGAACCCCAGACCTAGCTACCATGTTCATATCCTTGCAAAGGTGGCTCAGGAGTTAACATGTGCAGGTGGAAGATCTAGCTTTGAAGTGGCAAATTATATTCAGAGAAAGCTGGCTGATGCTCTGGGATTTGAGTGTACTACCCTTACAAGGAGGGACAAGTACTTGATGCTAGCTGGTAATGAAGGGATCGTCCATGAAAATAAGAGAAATTAACAAACCCTGGACAACAAAATTAATTTGCACACCTTCACCATATGGGATTCACTTATACATGTCAGTTCTTTTAACTATTTGCTTACCTGTTTTCCAGTCCCCTATCCAATCAGCCACAGTTTTCGTATGGTTCTTTTTGCCAGATTATATATTGCACCATTGAGTCTGAAATTTATTTCTATTGTTTTATTATGACGGCAGACTGCAACATGTTATGTAAAAGTGATACTATGAGGGTACCACCATATTATAAAATCATCCTTCAATTCTATAAATAATAACTGTCAATTGCTTTTCTCGAATACTCAATTCAGCCATCTTAATCAGTTGGGCAGAGATAATCCAAACACTGGTTGCAAATATCCATTTATTAGTTTTGCATGGACTTTTTTTTCCTTTTAAACATTGCCTGCATGTTTGAGGCTCATTTCCAAGTAATAATTTGGAATGTAAACTTAGTTCTATGTGTCAAACTTAGAAATGAATGTGAATACTTTAATTAACAAGGATATATTTATTTAATTTAAAATAAAAATACTTTTTATCAAATCTAAATATATAATATAATATAATATTAAAAATATATTTACTTAATAGAGAGGGATCAACTTAAACCATTATAAAATTTTTTTAGTTTTACACTTTTTTTTAATAATTGATTTCAATAAATTTAAAGAATGTGATTAAATTATTTTTTTCTTAGTTGACTTGTTTCTCTCATTTTTAAAATCTATTGATATTAATGGTTAAAAGAAATAAAAAATAAATTTTTTTTATGTAATTTAATCCTTCACTTTTGTTTAATATATAAATATTTCTGGATAACACAAAATTTCTTTTACAAAGAAATCATAATTTTGAAATAGTAGAAAGTATTGTAGGCGGTGAAATTTAAATTTTAAAATTATTAAATATTATTTTTAAAGAAAATTATGTAAACTAATTAAACAAATCTTAAATTCTTTTTCTTTTCTCTTTTACCTTAAGAGTCTTGGTCACATAAGTTTTAGGTGGAGTTTTAGGTTGGGGTTGATAAAGTGTTGATGCTTTAATTTCTTTAATGTTGATTTAACAATCTCAATTATAAAAAAGCATGGTAAATATTTCAGGTAAACAAAGTGAGGCTAAGGTAAGTGTCATGATCTTAGAAAGGAGATATAAATTTTATATCAGATTTATATTAAAATTAATTATGAGATATAAGAGTTCATGTCACCTTTAATTTATGAAGTTATTTTTGTGAAATAAAATCATGAAGTCAAAGAAGATAATATCTTACAAGTTGATATAAATCGTAATAATTATGTTGATTTGAAACGTAAAAAAGATCATTTTTATGTTTTGAAATAGTATAATTTGAAGTTTAAGTTTTTACTCGTGACAAGTAATGTCAGAGTTAATTTTGAAGGTACTAACAATGATCCACTAAAGATGTTAGGTATTCATTAGAATAGAGAAAGATGTCACAGTCTTGAAAAAAAAATTATGAGTCTCATATTGATTGTGTATTAAAATTGATCATGAAATATTATTCGTATCACCTTTAATTTGTGAAGACTTTTATATGAGATAAAATCATAAGATCAAAAAAATCAAATTTTAACTTGTGAAATTTTTGTTATAAAATAAAATTATAAGATTAAAAAGGCTAAAACTATTGTATATTAAAATTAATCATAAGATATAAAAATTTATATAATCTTTAACTTATAAAATCCATTTTATGAATTAATATAAATTATGATAATTAAATTAATCTAAAATGTGAAAAAAACTATTTTCATGATCTAAAATCATATAAATCTAAAGGTTTAAGTCTCGACCAGATATATAAGGGCAAGGATAAGGGTTGAGTGAGCTACCCTTTTCCTGTACAAACATTGAAATGTGTGGCACATAACTCAAATCCTCTGCAGTCTGTACTGCTTGCAATGAATGATGCCATAAATGCAAAACTTTAGTTTCTCATGACAAAAATCCAATGCCATCGGTACTCACCCACGCCTTTCTCTCTCAACGCCAACCATTTCATCACTCACAAAATCTTGGACCGCTACAATTATATAGCTTCAACTTTTGGGCGTCCTAATTACACCTACAAATTTACGTCCATAAACCAAACTCTATGCCAAATTAATTAAACTGAAATTAGTTCACCAAAACAACATTAGTTACGCTAATTATAGTACTTCTAAACAACATTAGTTACGCTAAACCACCAGTCAGGCTTTGCTTAATAAGAATGATTAAAATTGATTATAGACACTTTATTTAGTCCGAATTCAAATCCATTGGACCTGATCTAATAATATTTGGGTCTAAACTCATTAGACTCGGTTTAAGATCCAATTAGCTGGGCCCAATGGTTTATTTATTTTAATTTTCATTATTTAATATATATTTTTTAATTTATTAATATTTTATTATTTATCTATTTTATTTATTATTATTTATCTATTCTTTTATTTATCTAATATTTTTGTTATCTGGTAATATTATATTTTATTTTGAATTAATTCGTTAAGAATTAGGATAAAAAAATTAAGAATGATTTGTCTCTGATTTAAAAATCTGACAGAGTTGGATATGGATTTCAAAATTCGAAATCCCAATCCCAGAAAGAGTTGGGATTGATCAGAAACTCTTTTGATCAATCCCTATAAATAGGTACTGAAAGAACAGAAGAAGACACACAGAAAAAAGATACACACAGAGAAAAAACAGAAGCTAAAAAAAGGTTTTGGTGTGTTAGAATCTCGAGCCGAGTCTCCGAGCTATTTTTTTTCCTCAAGTCGAGTCGAGCCGAGCCGCTAAGCCGAGCCATTCTCAGGTTTTTTTTTCGTTATTTATTTATTTATTTATTATTATTATTATTATTATTAGAATTGTTTAATATTCTTTTATTTTTATCTTTGTTTTACTTTTCTTTATTTTTATTTTCATTTTTATTTTATTATTTTATTTTCTTTAAATTAAATTCAAAAAAAATATTTTTGAGGAAAAGTTGAAAGTATCAATTTTCTTCGAAATTAAAGTTTTCAAAAAATATTTTTAGGGAAAAGTTGAAAGTATCAATTTTTCTTAAAAATAAATTTTCAAAAAATATTTTTTTGAGAAAAAGTTGAAAGTATCAATTTTTCTCGAAATTAAAAGTTGAAAGTATCAATTTTTCTTAAAAATAAATTTTCAAAAAAGGTTTTTTTGAGGAAAAGTTGAAAGTATCAATTTTCCTTAAAAATAAATTTTCAAAAAAGGTTTTGAGGAAAAGTTGAAAGTATCAATTTTTCTTGAAACTAAAGTATTCAAAAAAATATTTTTTGAGAAAAGTTAAAAGTATCAATTTTTTTTAAAAATAAATTTTCAAAAAAGGTTTTGAGGAAAAGTTGAAAGTATCAATTGTCCTCGAAATTAAAGTTTTCAAAAAATACTTTTAAGGAAAAGTTGAAAGTATCAATTTTCTTTAAGAATAAATTTTTTAAAAAAAAGGTTTTTTTTAGGAAAAGTTGAAAGTATCAATTTTCCTCGAAATTAAAGTTTTTAAAAAATATTTTGGGGAGAAGTTGAAAGTATCAATTTTTTTTGTACAAAAGCGATCAATTTTCTTTTCCTTTTTTATTTCTTTGGATTTTCTTTAATGTTAAATAATCCGACGACGGAACCTTTGCAAGTGAAATAGTAGTTTCTTGCATACTCTTGATGTGAGAGAATTTTTTTCAATTTTTTGCTAAAAATATTAGAGTCAATTGAGAATAATTTCTAATAACTAATTACTTGGTAAATTTTTAAGGCTTATTAGGTAACACAAAATTAAGCTGGTACCATCTTTTGATGGGCGTTGTGAGGGTGCTATAACCTTCCTCACACGTAACCGAACTCTCGAATCCTGTTTTGGTTAGTAGACTCAAACTTATTCTTTTAAGGACCCTTAAACCTAGGTATTCCCTAAAAGGATAGATTCTTTAGGTCCCAATCACACATAAATAAAAAAGATTGGTGGTGACTCTTTAAGTCAATGTCTAGCGATAGATCCCCGGATCTAGACGTTATGATAGCATGGCGACTCCGCTGGGGACGTCCAAGAGTCAAGCCAGCAAATAAATTTATGTTATCCAAAAGCCTAATAAAATTGAACCTTTTGTATAGATTTTTTTATTCATTCATGTTTATTTACTTTATTAATTATGTTATTCATATCCATATGCATAACATGAGCTCTATACCCGAGCATTGTCCCTCTAGGAGGGAGTAAAGTACCTATTGCTTTCGTGAGGTTTAATGCCTCCGCAGTGGCTAGAGAAATACTCCCATTCAAATTGAACCTTTTTTGCTTGTAGCCTGTAATGGGTGAGGATTAGGATGCCTTACTAGTTTGTGATGGACAATGATGTAAGGAGTAATTTGAAAACCTTTAGACTTTGACCTTGAACCACATATAGTGAACCTTAGAAGTGCCTAACCCTAAGATAGGGTCATTTCTATCCAATGATAGATATACCCTGAAAATAGGACATAAAAAGGGTGTTTACCTAATCATTTTGATTGTCTGACTTTGTGCATCATTTTCATTATCATATGTAACATTATGCATCGGCATCACTTTCATTTCATCTATGAAACTAACCATGTTGTTTGTCTGATTTTATGCATCCGTATGATCATGTTTTAACATTATCATTTGCATTTATTTCATATTAGATTTCATCCATGAAAATGTACATTTCATTCGTGCATCAACGTATCATACATGAAGCATAGCATATTATTTCTAATCATAATTGTGGTGCTAAAGGTTCAAAGATAGCCCCATCAAGCAACTTCACCCATCGATATAACATAAGAGCCAGAGCTAGACAAATGAAGAAGGAAAACTCTTACAGATTTGAAAAATTAGAAAAAGCTCAGAAAAAGATTGAGAATGAGTTAAGTAAAATTTTGGATGCTCTCAACAAATTAAATAAGGGAAAAATAGTAGAAGAGAACACAAGCCAACAAGGTCTTGTATCACAAGAAGTGACTAACCCCCTATATCCACCTGGTTTTGGTTCACCTCAAGCTCAGTCTACACAAGAGGTTCCATCATAATACTACACATATCTTACATATCCTGAAATGCCATCAGCTTCTAATCCAGGGCATTACCATAGCTATGTGAATCCTGTATTTACTGAAAAAGTAGTTGAACCAATTCAAATCCATGATCTGGATGAACTGAAAAGAAAAGACAAGGAAAAGATAAAAGTGAAAGCTCAGGAAAACTCTAAAATTAGTATGCTAGAATAAAGGCTACGGACTGTGGAAGGAATTGGTTTTTATGATTCAGTTA